GAGGGGTTAGTTATCAGTCGGGTAGGTAGAGGAGAGTGTGTGTGTGTGTGTGGAGAATGGCGAGAGGGATGGCAAAGGCATGGCAGGGTGGGAGGCACGGGCATCCCGAAACGCCACGGGCCTGCCTGGGGAACGGGGGGACGAACGTACGGTCTGCTGCGAGAGGCCGGTCGAACGGAAGCACACAAGGCGCACGAAGCGAGCCACCTGCAAGCGAATGGCGTGGGTCGCGGCATTGGAGAAGTCTGCCAGAGCCAAGTACGCCGGAATGCCACCCATCAGGCAGAGGGCGTCCAACAGAGGCTCATTGTCGGTGAGAATCTACCAAGCCAGAGTGGGAGGAGGAGGAGAAGGGGGAGGAGGGGGGGGGGAGCAGACATGGAAAGGGGTTAGCCACACTCGATGCACACACAAGGCAGGCGGAGGGGAAGAGAGGAGAAAGCGAGGAAGAGCCAGACCCATGCCCCGGTGATGTACCTCATTGATTACACGCAGCAGGTGGGGAATGGCCTGCAGATCCGAGGGCGGGGCCGACAGGAAGTCCATGACCGTGATGGACCGGTGCTCGGTGAAGAAGGACTGCCTGATGTCGGGATTCCGCTGGAGCAGGTCCAGCATGGCCTCGCAGGCCTGCTGGATGGTGTTCTCCGGCCCGGCGGCCCGGGCAGCCGCCTCATCGGGGAACATGTTGTCGTGCGAGCCGAAGCAGGCGTTCTGCAGCTGGGACAGCACGCGCGCGCAGTCATTCAGCAGGCGGGCCTGACGATCGCGCGCCAGCTGCTTCTCCTCGTCCAGGACCTCCTCTTCGAACTCGTCGTCCAGGTTGGCGAAGATGTCCTCCTCGTCGTCGTCATCGAAGTCGTCGCCCGCACCGAAGCCAGCGCCGCCGGCTCCCCGATGGCCAGGGAGGCTGAGCACCAGCGGGGTGGACGGGTCGTCGAAGGACACCGAGGCGAAGCGATCAATGGTGCTGTCATCCCCGGGCGCATGCTGGGAGATGGCCGGGGCTATGGCAGGGGAGGGGGAGCATATGTGAGCACGCGCCGGGCAGGCAGGGCCGCAATCAAAATGGCAGAGAGCACGACGCGAGGCTAGGCGAGAGGGACCAAAGAGAGAGAGAGAGAGAGAGAGGCAGAGGGGCGGGGCCAGACAAAAGCAGGGAGGCCATGGGTAGGTCACGTACGCCGGCTGAAGCGGACCGTGGCGCCAATGAAGTCGTCAAAGTCGTCATCATCCACCTCGGTCTCCTGGAACCGGCCGAGGGTGGCCTCGATGGCAGCAGCACCGGAGGCAGCCGCGCCGGAGGAGGTCCCGGAGGCAGACCCGGCCCGCGCGCCCGCCTTGGGCGACGCGCCAGCGGTGATCACCTTCAGGTGGGGAATGTCCCGCCGGACAAAGAGCGAATCCGTCCCATCGAGATCATCAAAGTTGATGTCCTCGTCCTCCTCATCGTCGCTGGGCCAGGCGACGGACGCGCGCTTGGCATTGCGGCTGGCCAAGCCCGGAGAGGGGGGCCGACCAGGGCCGGAGGCGCCGCCCGCCGCGCCGGACCCCACGGGCTGCGGGGTGGGCGGTGAGTAGGCCTGCGCCGCGGCCGACGGCCGGACCGGCTTGCCCGGCTGCACCACCAGGTCACTGGCGAAGTCACTGCCCCAGTTGTCATCGTCGTCGGACTCGGCGAACTGGTCCAGGGCATTGCCGGCACCACGGGCGGCGGCAGCCGGCATGGCGGGCTCCGCCTGCTGGCCGATGCGCCGGACAATGGTCGACGAGAGCATCGGCGAGCTGAAGGTCAGGCCGTTGTCCAGGGCCGCCTGGTCATCGGAGTCAGACCGGAAGGACAGATCGTCCACCATGTCGGCCAGGTTCAGCGCCGCAAGGGGGTCCCCGCCGCTGGCGGTGGCTCCGCCAGCCCCGGCCGGGCCCCGGCCGGTGGGAGTGGCTGCCTTGTTGGCGGCCCCGGCCGAGGGGACATTCCGCCCAACGGCCCCGGGCCCGAGGCGAACCGTATCGCCCGAGGCCAGGGAGAAGGTGGACGAGGAGGAGCTCGACCCGCCGAAGCTGTCGTCCGAATCGGTGCCCCAATCGAGAGACCCATCATCCGGGTCATCATGGACCGTCAGGCTGGACAGATGGTCAGCCATGGACTTTTCCGGGCGCGAGCGCTGGCTCGGCGCGCGGGACAGCCCGCCACCGGCGGGGCCGCGAGCTCCCGAGGTGGCCATGGGCTTGCGCAGCCCGGAGGCCGCCTCGCCGGTCTCGGCCGCCGCCGCCGCCGCCGCCGCCAGAGTAGGCGACGCAGGGACCGACGGCGCGCGCGCATGATTCTCGAAGGCCTCATTGTACTGGACAACGGCCTGGGCCACATCGCGAGCGCTGCCCGGAGTGGCGGCAGCCACGGCCGCCGGGATCGGCACCGTGGCCGCAACCGCCGCCGCCGGGGCCGACTGGTTCCGCCGCGAGAGCCAGGGATGCCGGCGCAGCTTCTCCGCACTGACACGCAGGTTGTAGTCCTTCTGGAAGCAGGAGGTCAGGAAGTCGTCCAGCGCCGGGGACAAGCCCTGCGGCAGGGCCGGCTGATCGTCCTGCACAATGCGGAACATGGCCGACAGGGGGGCCAGGTCGAAGTGGGGCGGCGACCCGGTGAGAAGCTCGATGATCGTGCACCCGAGGGACCAAATGTCGGACGCCGGGGTGGCGCCGTTCATTTCGATGACCTCGGGGGCCACTGTGTCATCGGTGGTGCACCGGAGAGGGCGGGGAACGGGGAACGGGGGGGGG